TTTAATGTAGTGAATAGCATCACCTACACTTAATCTTATCCACTATATTAAATGAACAAAAAGGTCCATCAATTACATTCTTTTCACCAAACAAATAGGGTAAATAGAATTTGCTCATGACATATATGTTTGTCTACCTAAACAATATATGTTGATGTTATTGCATTTGTTGTTGTCGTTATTCTAGGAGTGTCAAAATTCAGATGCCAGCCGTCTGCTCAACTCTATTCAGAATCTTTCACCATGAAGTAGCTAAAAATTCTGGTCCTGCAGACTTTGCCTTCATGCACACACACTCTGCATAGCTCAATGCCATAAATTACATATACAAAACTATAAATATTAAGTTGTTTATATATATAGTACATACATTGTCTCTCTCTCTCTCTCTCTCTCTCTCTCTCTCTATATATATATATATATATATGACTTGGAATGCACAAGGTGGGTAGTACAGAATACCCAACAAGTTTTTAGTTTCCCCCACCAAGAAAAGAAAAGAAAAGAAAAATGTTTGGAAGAGTTTCCTAAAACTTAAAAAAGTAAACAAACTATTATTTACAATATGTTCTCTAATAAGATTGAAACTCTCGAACTCCAAAAAAAATAAAATAAAATAAAATATCATGGGTAAAGGCCACAGGACATTTGGTAATCTTCCCAAATGGAATAGTACGTTTTGTAATTATTTTATTAGCTTATTTCTCAAAAACCCACATGCCAATTCAAACATCTGCTTCACTCTATTCAAATATTTTAAAAGCTTTTCGAGGGATTTTGATTCATAGATCTTGATTCATCACATAGAGACAAGTTTTATGCAAAAATAAAATATGATGTATCATTCAATTAACAGATTGAATACTTACAACAAATGTCTGAGTAAACCTTTAAGACTTTCATCTAAAGTGAATGTTCTCACTTATTGTAGATCCCTCAACAAGATGCATTCTCCTTGGATCTCCATCTTCTTGGTAATTGTTTTGCCTTTAGGAATCACTCATATGCCTCCATGAACAATCTTGGAAAAATAGGCTTGTGGGAGCCTATATTAGATGAGAACATAAACCCTAATTTTCTAGAGAGAGAAAATAGGTTCCTTTTTCATTCTTCCAAAAATCACACTAAAAATCTACATAGACCATGTATATTTATAGGCAACATAAAGATAAAGAAAATGAAATAACAAATCATTCTCAATCTCTAATTCACATGTCTCAAATCTAATATGATTCCAATATCAAATTAGGCTATGAGTGAGAATCCATTGGGCCTATTATTCTATTGGTTACAATGAATTAATAATTGGCCCGGTCTATGGACCCAATTCAATTAATTCATAGAAATTAATTGAACTCCAATTAAATAATAAATAACCTCTAAGTCAATATTACACTTTAACCCCTCTATGCATAATTAGTTATCGGATAAATAAAGCCATCAATCCGACTACTTAATTAATATATTTATTTTGGTACCATTGATTATTTCTGGTTCGATCACAATAAAACATTTGTTTGACAAAAATAATAATTTAAATAAATAAATATATAATAAATCATTTTGTCTAAAAACATACGAAGGCCTTCGAATTTACTTTGTGATCAACCATAATCAATACAAAATAAATACAAGTAGCAATGATGCAAATATTGAAAATATGACCCTCTAACTATTAATTACATAACTACCCAAAGTGTCGGTCTAAGGACCCCGAAGAATCAGCCGAACAAATCAAAGTAATTATTAATTAATAAAAGAGTCTATATTTTTCTCATACTTAATAGTCAAATGCCATGACGGTGATAGGGAGTAATTGAATACGACGGCTCTCGCAATATATCTCAACCTAACGTGGATTTAGTTCAAGTCTTAATTAATTATGATTCCATCCATAATTACCGACTATGAACAATTTATGATTATTATTTATATTCATGTATTGATCGCCATCACATACATATATAAATATCTCTTGTAATCAAGAGGACACTATCGATTCTATAATGAATCAAAACATAATATATTGAATTCGCCAATTGTACAAAACATAAATATTTCAGAAACGTTAGAAACATATGTCACTTTAATTCAAATAGAAATTTGTTATGCCAGGTCATATAAATCCCAACAGTTTATATATATAGTACATACATTGTCTCTCTCTCTCTCTCTCTCTCTTTCTATATATATATATATATATGACTTGGAATGCACAAGGTGGGTAGTACAGAATACCCAACAAGTTTTTAGTTTCCCCCACCAAGAAAAGAAAAGAAAAGAAAAATGTTTGGAAGAGTTTCCTAAAACTTAAAAAAGTAAACAAACTATTGTTTACAATATGTTCTCTAATAAGATTGGAACTCTCGAACTCCAAAAAAATAAAATAAAATAAAATATCATGGGTAAAGGGCCACAGGACATTTGGTAATCTTCCCAAATGGAATAGTAGGTTTTGTAATTATTTTATTAGCTTATTTCTCAAAAACCCACATGCCAATTGAAGCATCTGCTTCACTCTATTCAGAATCTTTGGAGAAGATCGAAGTAGCCAAAAATGCTGGTCTTGCACATGCACCTTGTCCTCTTGCATACAAACCATATATAAATACCATAAATCCCCGTGTATTATGTGTGTGTCCAATTCAACATATAATTTTTTTTTTCTTTCCTTTATTTAGTTGAAAGAGATGAATATAACACCAGCACTGAATACAAATCTAACATTTGGCAAGTTCTCTTTTTTATTGAATTAGGAACATCTTAAAAGGAGAAGTTTACGAAAATTAATAATGAGAAAAGAGTGAAAGAAGCTGAGATGATTGAAGGAGCTTATTTTGATTTAGGATTTACTCTCTTTAGGGTACGTTTTGAAATCATTGAGAAAAGTGAGAATTTTTGCATAACTACTAAGACCACAATTGAGTATGAAATAAAGGAAGAGGCTGTGGCTAATGCTTCAATTGTTAGTATCAAACTAGTGTTGAAAATTATGGAACTCGCAGCTAATTATCTCATCAAGAACAAAAATTAAATTGTGATTGGCATGTACATTCAACTTGGTAAACCATTTATCAATGTTATGAAATAAGTTTCAATGTACCTTCAATTGTTTGTTGTTGACTTTTTTTTATTTATTTTGAAAGGAGGTAAATTTAATTTATAAATATAAAGAGTAGATGTACAACACAATTGTATATTTTTATGTCATCTAATCTGCTTTTATACTATTTGGTTACTCGACAACCCGAAGTATACTGACCTAGCAAACATAAAGAGAAGAGAAAATATAAAAAAATAAAAAATTTGAATTGGGAAAATGATGATTAAATACAGTTTATTAGTACTGTGCTCTTAGTTTCATTTTATGAATATTAGGAAATCATTTGTGCTTGTACATCCTGCAACAACGGTTTCAATTACCACTCCACTTTGTTGGTATTTTTGGGATGCCAAAATTTGAAATTGTTCTATCATAAAAAATTGGCAGAAATGCAAAAAGTTATTTCAAATGCCTTTACTAGGGGGCTTCCTAATAGCATTTTGTATGACGTGAACAAGGATGAGCCCCTTTTTTCCACAAAAAGGTGTAAAACTAAGGGAGAAATTAGTAGATGCTTTTTTTTATTTTTCATTTTTGCTCTGTCTTCAATTTATTTTGTAGGCTTCAATTTATATGATATCTGTTACTACTTGCATTATCATATCTTTAGTAACTGAGATCCCTTGCACAATTATCAGTCCATTGATTTTTAATGGTTTTTAATGCTCATATAGATGGTTTTGAGAAATTGATGTTTAAAAATAAATAAAAATTACAAAAACTTTCCGTATTCTGAAAGTATTTAAATGGGATCCTTGTTGTGTCCATGTAGTATTCTAGTCGCATCTAATTAGAAAATAAAATTTTCAATTTTTAAAATATTTTTTTAATATATTCAACATATATCCAAGCCGTATCCAAATGTCCAATACCGTTATGACACTCTGGGCGAAGTATTCATGCATTCTGAGGTTCAATTCTCCATCTTGGGAAGCAAAAGTAGAAGAAAGAAAAAGAGGAAGCACTGTTTTGGGCTTGGTCAGACTGCCATGGTATGAATTGGGGGCTCAAATGGTCGTAAGTTCAATTCGAGAATAATAAGGCCTTAGACATGACCAAAAAATATCCATTTCATATAGTGCATTGCTCACGAAGTGATGCATTTTATTTTATTTTTTGGATAAATTTTCATGTTCTTTTTTCAATTATTTACAGACCATTTTTAATAAGTTTGTATTTATATATTCAATATTTGTTTTTTTTAGGAACTCCTTGTGTCCTGATCATGTTAGGAACTCCTTGTCCAAGTTCAAGTATTTGAGGAAAATATTCACATTGATTGTTGAAGAATCAACGGTGAGTTGTGGTTAGGGGTGAAAGGCCATTCGAAGCTTGGTAAAAATGATTCTCTGGATGATTTTTATTAACCTAGTTGTATAGTCTAAAGAGTTTAATGCAGTAAATAAGTCTCAGGTATACTTAAACTTATCCACTATATTAAATGAATAAAAACATCCATCAATTACATTTTTTTCACCAAACAAATAGGGTAAATATGATTTGTTCTTGACATATATGTTTGTCTACCTAAACATTAATATATATTGATGTTATTGCATTTGTTGTTGTCGTTATTCTAGCAGTATTAGCTTATTTGTCAAAATTCAGATGCCACCGTCTGCTCAACTCTATTCAGAATCTTTCACCAAGAACTAGCCAAATATTCTGGTCCTGCACACTCTGTCTTCATGCATACACACTCTGCATAATTCAATGCCCTAAATTACATATACAAAACTATAAATATTAATTTGTTTATGTATATAAGACATACATTCTCCATCTCTCTCTCTCTCTATATATATAAATATGCATGACTTGGAACGCACAAGGTAGGTAGTACAGAATACCCAACAAGTTTTTAGTTTCCCCACCAAGAAAAGAAAAGAAAAGAGAAATGTTTGGAAGAGTTTCAGAAGAGATGGAAGTGCAAGTTTCAGCCACTGAAGCATGGGAACTCTACGGAACGCTTCGGCTGGCGAAACTTTGTGAAGAAGAGCTCTCTGATATCATTCACAAAGTTGACATTATACAAGGTGATGGAGGTGTTGGCACAATTGTCAAACTAACATTTCCACCAGGTAACATATCTACATATACACACACACACACACACACTAGTGTGTCCAATTGAGTGTATAATATATATTTTTAGTATAATAGAGTGGAATGAACAAACTGAATACATATCTAACATTTGTTATGGTATTAGGGACGCCGGTATTTTCTTCTTACAAGGAGAAGTTTACGAAGATTGATAATGAGAAGCGAGTGAAAGAAACGGAGGTGACAGAAGGAGCATATCTTGAAATAGGATTTACTCTGTATAGGGTTCGCTTTGAAATCATAGAGAAAACCGAGAATTCGTGCATAATCAAGACCACAGTCGAGTATGAAATCAAGGAAGAGGCTGCTGCTAATGCTTCGCTCGTTAGTATCCAGCCATTGGTGAAACTTATGGAAGCCTCCGCCAATTCTCTCATCAAAAACCATAAGTAAATTGTGATATATATGCAAGGACTTTCAAATTTGTCAGCCCTATATCATCATCAATGTTACAAAATATATTTCAGTTGTAGCTCGTTTGTTGTTGAGAATAGGGAATTGAAACCAAAGGTCTTGTACCCCAACCTGTCCTCCCATTTATCTGGTTTAATCTAATGGTGGATAATGAATGTGTGCGCTCCGTCTCATATTTACACCGCTTGTTAAATTTCTTGAAAGCTCAAGCTCCTACTTGCCTTGGTTCTGCTTTTGGATTGGCAAGCAAATATATCATCGAGATTATAGAAAAATGCAATTATTCAAATTGACTTTTCAAATTATAAAATTTGAGGTGGTATTACATAACGGAATCTTAATTGTGAAATTTTATCCATTTTGCTCACCCATTAGATTTGCAGACTTCTGAATGTCCTGGGACTCAATTGATTGTTGACTTCAACTCAAGGTGAATTTTGGCTAAAACTTGACTAATATTCTAATTTTTAAGAGCATCTCCAATAAAGTCTCTAAAATTAGGCTCTCCGAATTTGCCATATCAGCATTTTTCAATAGCTACATAAGCATTTTCCATAACCACGTCAGCATTTTAGAGTCTCCAAATTTTAGCTATCGCATGTACTCCAATGGTGCATTTTCACTCTCCAAAAATATTAATGTTTTAAAATTTAAAATGTCAATAGGAACATTGAAAATTTTGAAAACGAAAAAAAATAAATTTTTTCTAATTTTTTAATACTTTTTTTTGCCCAAAAAAGCCTTTAAGGCACTGTTTGTGCCAGCCAAACAGTGCCTTAACGGCTCTTTGGTTCAATTGTTTTGAGGGGGAAAAAAAAAAAAAGAGATCAAAGTAAGCAAAAAATCTGAATTTTAGCTTTTATTTTAACCAAACATGCCCTTAGGAATAGTGTTTTGGGCTCGTAGTGTTCTGGCCTGAATTTAAAAAATAAAAGAAAACAAAAATGGGCCCACAAAAAGTGAACCCAATCGCCAACCCAATCTTGCTTTCTGGCGACCTCCATCAAGAGCCTATACTTGGGGTCTACTTTTCCCATATTCCATTCGAGCATTGCATCTTCAAAAATTGGGTCACTTTCGCTAAAAAGAGCATTGATGGAGTTGCTCTAATGTTTCTTAATATATTAGTGAATAACATACATGAACTCTGATGAATCCGTTACGACTTAATTTGCCAATAAAGAGAACTATTAGATTGAAAAATAAAAGTGTTCGGAGGTAATATATATATATATATATATATATATATATATATATATATATATATATATATATATGGTGAACAAGGATACAATTAAGGAGTTCATTTTGGAGGCTTCATTTATATTGAAGTAGCTAGATTATAGTTGGAGCATGTACAGCATTCCTCTTGTCTCCATGCACCTAGTCCTTAGAGCATCTCCAATGGGCTTTTTGAATTTGCCGTATCAGCATTTTTTAATAGTCACGTCAGCGTAATAGAATTTCTAAATTTTAGCTATCGGTTGTACTCCAATGGTACATTTTCGCTCTCCAAAAATATTAATATTTTAATATTTTTTAAGTTTTTAATAAATTTTATTTTTTAACTTTTTCCTAACGACTATATTTTTAAAACAGTTATATCATAAAAAAAAAATTTAAACAATACAATATTTATTATTAAAAACAATACGATACGACATAAATTTAAACAATACAATACAACATGAATTAAAAACATAACAACTAGGAAAAATAGAACAATCATATGGAATGCTTGAGATAATTTTATGGAAAGCTTGAATTACCGCGTGTGCGTATAGATGCTAATATTTCGTTTTAGCGTTCAATTAGCCATGCTTTCCCCGCTTGTGTTGGCATCGATTCTGGATCTTTTTGCATGATTAACATCTCTTCAACTTTTTCTTTGTTTTCAATCTCTCTTAGTTTGCTTTGAAGCTCGAGTTGTTTGGTTTTTTCTTTATCTGCTTTGCGTGCCTCTCGTACTATTTGAGCCGCCTCAAGAGTTTCAGATTGTCTTTGGTAAAGGGTTGTTGCATAATCAAATTTGCTAATGAAATCATTCTGACTTTTAGATTGTCTTTTATCCTTATTTCACCTTTGCTTCACTGATTTTCGTCGTTTTGGTCGCTGACATTCTTCAACATCCGTCAGATCATTTTCGCCTATGTGCGTCAATGCTTTAACCGAACTTGGTGTCGTTGCTGCATTACTTGATGGAGTAGATGGGTTTGAGTGACCAATAGGCTCATTATCATAAATGTGGATTCCACTCCTCTTCTTCGGCTGTTTTTTTTTTTTTTTTTTTTTTATGTCAATTCTTTTTGATAATGTTAATGCCACTTATTGTTGTTCTTTAAATGTTCCAACAACTGTCAAACTTAAATTTTGTGTTATTTTGACAAGTAAACAACTCTTTGGCGGCTATCATCTAAAAAAAAAAAATCAATAATTATTAGAAGACAAATCTTTAAAATATCTACCAATTAAATTTAATATAATAAATAACTTACCTTGTACTCATTGTCTTGCCCACTGAGGTAATTCCTTTCGTTCTGGCCATGCATCCAGAAAATTTGGTAATCATTTGTTGCATGATGAACCAACGATTCAAGTAGGCGATATGATTTCTTTTAGGTGTACCAGCACCACTAACGTGTTGCTCAAAACTTTCTTGAATTCGGATCCATAACGCTATCTTTTGTTGGTCTGAACTGATGACCGCAACAGTGCTAATGGCCATCCACGCATAACATAAAGCCTCATCTTCAACCGTGGACCAATTAAGAGGCCGAATAGCCTTTTGTTTTCTGGGAGGTTGGGAGTTACTAGATTGTGGCACTTCAGTAAGAATGTAGAATACTTGAGAAGGTTGATGAGACGGAAATTGAGATTCATTCCAACAAATTGAGATTCTTCTCCAACAAATAAGAGTGGATCAAAATTATCGTTTAATTGGTTGAATTGGGAGTTGTAGTTGTAATATGGTGGTGGAGGATCCATGGAATTGAACTTGAGTAAAAAAATATAACTAAAAGATTGAGAAGACTTAGTGGTTGTAGTTGTAGGTTGAAAACTAGAGAAGATTGGCTGGATATGATGTGAATAATAGTAGGGGTTTATGTATTTATAAAGAAAAAATGAAAGGTTTTTTTTTTTTTTTAAATAAATTTATATATATTTAATGAATTTTTATAAAAAAATAAATATATATAAAAAAATTCATTATATATATTTAATGAATTTTTTTTTGAAAAAAAATCAAAAAATAGGTTTTTGTGCCAATATAGCCGTTAGGGCACTCTTTGGGTCAACCAAACAGTGCCTAAAACGGCTATATGTTAGTAGGAATATTTTAAAAAGCAAATTTAAAAAAAAAAAAAAAAAAAAAACGCTTTTATCTATTTTTTTTTTTTTTTTTTACTTTTTTTGCCCAAAAAAGCCTTTAAGGCACTGTTTGTGTCAGGCAAACAGTGCCTTAACGGCTTTTTGGTTCAATTATTTTGAAGAAAAAAAAAAAAAAAAACCAAAATCAGCCAAAAAAACTAATTTTTTTCCTCTTTTTTTTTCAGGCAAACATGCCCTTAGGAATAGTTTTTGGGCTAAGTGTAAGTTTTGGGACAGAATAAAAAAATTAAAAGAAAATGGATGCGGGCCCGCATGGCAGACCCGCGGCTTGCCAACAAGGTTGCGGAATACCGTGACCTATTCCGCTTTCCATTGGGTGGGGGCCAATTTTGTGGCGACCTCATTGGAGCAGTCCAATATCCAAACCTGGCCCAAAATCGCCGAATTTTTGTCCATTGGACCTGGTCTTAGAAGCTAATGCTTAATATAACTGCCAAAAATGTTATTCGCTTGCTTGATTTGTCAATTGTTACTTTGAAAATATTTTTAAAAAATCAGAAAATAGAAAACTATTTTTGGATAATTTTAAAAGATAATTTGTTATTATTATTATTTTTTAACTTTACTTTCAAAAAAAAATTCCCAAAATTATCAACCAAATAAGTATTTGTACATTTTAAATTTCAATTCTCAAAAATAGAAAATTTTTTTTTTATTTTTTTTTGAAAGATATTAAAAATATATATATAGAAAATTGAACCAAGCAAATTAATGTACATGTACGGAGGGAGATAAGTAGAATGGACCAGCTGATACCTCTTTTTTTAGCTTTTGTACTTGTGGAGGGAAAAAACTCCCTCCAATAAAAAGCGCACACGTCACCACTACACATATCTACATTCCAAGGACATATAAGGCCCATCATACTCAAACCCAAATTGAGGGTATTTATAGCCCAAGACCATTGTTATTTGTCCTCCAACCTCCATCAAGGCCGAATCAAGAGGTCATCAGCCCAACTTGTTAATATTTAACATCCGGTCCGTTACTCAAGCCCAGCCGGATCAAAATATGTTCAGCCCAGTTATTCAAGAATGCACAAGTCCTACCAGTTGAAGGATTTACTGTAGAAGGAAAATTCTGAGATAGGAAGTTCTGTACAAGGCAAGTTCTATGTATGGAAAATTAGACAATGGAAAGAACTCTATTAGTAAAGAATGTTTATATAGAAAGAATTGGAGGGCAAGCAACGCGAGTCCTACCATAATTTTACAATCTTTTGTATATAAATAGAGGCTAAGACCTCCAATAAAGGGATCAAGCAATTCTACGCTTCTCTATACACTGTTCTTATTTATTCTTATTGTTTTTTGAGTGTGTTGTTCTATTTTTCTCAATCATTATTGGTTGAGCGAAATTTTGCACCTACACTTTGGCGCCGTCTGTGGGAACCGTATAAAAATATACTCCCACTTGTTCTTCAAATCAAATCCTTAGTCGTATCTGGAATGTCAAACGGAGAGTCAGCAATGAATCAACAGATAGAATTGATGCAAAAGATGCGAGAGGAGTTCTTGCACCAATTTGAGACACTCCGCCAAGCAAACGATATGAGTGTCGCCCAGATAGCTGCGCTTCAGCAGCAAACT